GAGACCCCGGCTGGGCGGGCTTCTTGCGGCCTGGATGGTGGATCTGCCTGACTGGGTGGATCTGGTGGACCTGCCTAATGGTGGATCTGCCTGACTGGACACCAGCCCTTGACGTCCATAGACACACCTGGTGGCTGGGTTGATGGTTGCCGTGACGTGATGTGAAGGCTTGGGAAGACTGACGCGGAATGCAGGGTCGGGAACCACCGGAACTGGAACGACCGGAACTGGGACCACCGGAACTGGGACCAGCAGCGAAGGCTCAGCTGGGCTGGACGGACCCAGCGGTAAAGGCTCTGGGCTGGGATCATGGAGTGCCGGGAACCGGGGTGACATAACGGTACTGACCATGTATGGTGAACCACACCATCTCAACACGGAGTCCAGATACCGTTCAAGGTTCATGTTGGGATTTCCCGGTGGCATCCATGAGGTGAAGTGTGGATCTAATCCACTCCAAAATAAGTCCATCAGCTGCTGATCAGTTAATGTCGTGAGATGGCTGTACTTCACAAACTCCTTGAGGTAGGATTCAATCTTACGGCCATTCTGATAAACAGAACAAGATCTGACCCGCTTCGTCCATTTTCCTTTTGGTCAGTCGTTCTGTCAGGCGTTGTGCAGGATGCAGAAGACGAGGACGAGAGGAACTCAATTCAGATGCTTTATTTACACATTTAGCTTACAGAGATGAAGGGAAACATTCCAGGACTTCAGTTCACACAACTAAACAAAGACGACGACCGACGAAGACAAACTGAACTGAAACAATGTAAATACAGAGACTGATGAACCATAATGATGTAAAGACAGGTGACACAGATGATGATAACGAGGGACAGGCTGGTAAGTGAGGGTGTGGAGACGAGGAGGATACTGGGAAGTGTAGTGAAGAGACAAGGACAGACTGGTGCAGACGAAGACTGTGACTGCAGGAGATTTTAATACAGATGAGGGTCCATCTACCTCCACACAGAATCTTAGCAGTGTAAGAAATGTTCTGCAGTTCTCCTTCCTTATGTAAATATTTGGTCTGTGTTTGTATTACAGACTTTTTCAGGCATGTTTAATTATTCTGTCTATCTAGTTGCCTGCCAAAGCGCTGTATAAGGTCCACCTTCAAAAGCAAATCAGAAAAATTGACATGGAGATGGACCTTATACAGCTTCAAATAGAGAAGAAAAGGCTTAACCTAAAAAAGGCCAGACTTGAAATTGAATTGCTGGAGCACCAGCTTAAGGTGGGAAACAGCATGTGAACATGAATCTGTCATTTGTTGTTGAATGAAATCTAAAGCAATAAATACAAATGTCTTTTGTTACAGGAAATAAAGACACAATGAACAACAGTTAAGTTGTTGGTTGAGCCACTGTAATCACTCGGACTATTTTAATGATGTGTTTCATAACTTTTGGGCCGGTCAGTTTCGATCCCTTAAGAAGCCTATGGAGGGGTGATTCAGCTCTCAGATTTAATCAAAAATACCTTAATTCGTGTTCCGAAGATGAACGAAAGTCTTACAGGGTTGGAACAACATGAGGGAGAGTAATTAATGACAGAATTTTCATTTTGGGGTGAACTAACCCTTTAAGTTCAGAGAGTGAGTTGCTATACTACCTGTTACCTCCGTTTTTGGAACCGAAAGTTGAGGTTATCCGCTTACTCTTAAACATACCCGGGTATGTCACATAACCTGCTTTCTGGAATACACCCCTGTTTATGCTGCAGGACAAGTTGGGTCGGAATCCACTTCTTATTGCGGTTGAGAGAAGAGTAAGGGTGAATATATTTGGAATACGGTAATTGAACTGTTTTAATAATGCTAAAGTTTGATTAAATGACTTTTTTTTTTTCATGTACTAACTCGTTATTTCATCTGGTTTTAATGATATCTGTGCGTCATTAAATGTGAGCAAATGTTTGACTATTCTATTAGAATAAAACAAATGTTTACAATTTATTATGTCAAGTAAATGCATCATGCCAATTTCATAATCAGTTCAAAGATAATAAACACAAAACATCAAATGCTCTGGAATGAAGAGAAAAGATGCAAACCTGACATTAGAAAATACATGATTCAGTCTCGGCCACTCTCAGCATTTGTCTACAAATCCCCCCGAGCCTCTTGGTGCATTTCATTATATAGACAGACAGATCATATTAATCTTATCCTTTATGAATATAATATTCAAAAATAAGACACTCAGATAACAAATAAAAAAAGCAGTTTGAAAACAATAAATCTTTATTAGTATATCTAATTTGTAACTATTATTACATTAGATTTGTGCAACAGAAACATATTGTAACTGAAATAACTTTTAAAATAGAGCCATTGAATGTCTACATATAACAATCCCTATCGTTGTGATTCTACGGTTCATACTGTAAGTGCAATATTCAAAGAAGGAAGCTAAATAAGAAACATAATATACAATTAACATATACAAAAAAACATAAATATGCACTACATTCTAAGTAGAAATACTCTTCCAACAGAATAGAGGTAATACAGCTATCAACGATGGATCCAAAGATATTTTGCATCAATTTCCACATCAGGTTTGGTATGATTATAATAACACTTGAGTTAAGCTCAGCATTCACATTGTGCCTGCAATGTTTAGTGAATGATGCTCAGCATGGGGACATACAGCTCGGAGAGATCACTAAACATCTGCAGAATAGACATTTAATACAAAGAACACAGATAATAAATAGCATTCTTCATTTTTGTCACATTTTCACTTTTGCATTGACTTCGCAAATACATCGTTTTTTGATTGTCCCGTAACCAGAAAGCATGAAATCTGTGAATAGACGTCAACAAAGAATATGACATTAATCAATGACAATGCCCCTTTAATGTGAATAAAACACGTTTGGATGATAAACGGCACATGGAAGTGTGTGAGATCCTTTATGATTACTACCATGACCTTCGAACCTATAATTCAGGAAAATCAAAGGCATTTAGAACAGTAAACGTGAACTTGTAAACCTTTCATAAAAGACATTTCTGAATGTAAGAGAAGCCTATTAGGGTTTGCCAACTTTAGGATTGATAACTTAGTGAGGAAGTCCAATCATTTGCAAAAAGATGCCAAAATTCATATTTGCATAAGATGATGGTTTATCAGATGTACTGTGCTTAATTACTAAAGTCATAAAGATATACTGAACAGTTTTTTTTAAACATGCTGTATGGAGACTTAAAGGTGATGTATGTGATTTGTTCAATGCTAAAAATAAATGTTTGTTTTAAACACCCAGAAATGTCAGCATGAATGAAAACATCACACATTATCAAGCGAGCACTGCCTAAGGCTGTATACTCGTATGCCAGTTGCTTTTACAACATTTGTGACGGGGGTGGGGGTGGGACTATCCATTTGTTTGACAAATGACAGAAGGAGGAGTGTTCAAGAAACCTTTTTGAAAACAGTCATTGCTTTTGCAGTTCTGTTTGGTGACAATAGCGGCACAGAATTGACATGCTAATAGGATTTGAAGCATTTTTCCCTTTTTCATTCTAATGAGATCCGGTCACCTTGGGCCTTTAGTTCTCTGTTGGATTCGTTTTATTTGTTCCTCCTCTGATAGGATTGTAACCCAGTTACAACCTACACAAGTTTCTAAGTTATCATTCTCCTACAAGAGCAGTAGGCAGCCATTACCAACAGAATGAGAGCTTTTTAATAGTAGAGGGAATGCCAGGTAGACCAGAAATTAATGATTGTCTTTTATATCCAATCATTGCACAGGAAAAAAGAAAAAAGAGCACCCTTGTGAAAAAAAAAGTGCAGTTCAGCATACCTTTGAAAGGAGTAGACCTGCTTAAAGCTACACTGTGTAACTTTTTTAGTTTATTCTTAGCTAAAAACACTTAGTTCTTTCAAAAATATATGTGCTCATTAATCTATATTTACTTCGTTCAAGTAATAAAGTATTCTCGTGAGTGTATAATATGCCATTGAAAATACATACGGGTAAGGGGTTCTAATGTCGGTCGCCATGTTGCCCCTCCATCTTGAAAGTACATTAGCCAAAGAGGGACATACCCGTTAATTCAAGCTTCGCCTTTCGCGTTTTAACACTCGATGGCACCGTGTCGAATGTCATATAAATAACCTATATGTTACCTGACAAATTAAATTACTGCAAATTATAATAGTTTTCTAAAATAACCTCATCACTTGAAGGAACACTCATAGACGAGGTCGAACTGGAAGCCATGTTAATCTTGGACTACATTGGCCACCGTAGGAGTTACGAAATCGGAATTGAGAGGAACAGAAACTAATATTCACTGGTTGGTCATATACCTTTTCACCGCTAGATGGGGGTAAAAATCACACAGTGTAGCTTTAAGTCTAAACTGAATGTTTACGGACACTTAATTGCATGTTAATTGGAATTAAATTAAAATGATTGTAGCTTAAACGTGAGTAGCTGAACAAGAGTTTTGTGATCCACTTAAGTAGGACTTAAGAACAGTTTTATATGCGATTTCATAATTACTTCTATATCGTCTTTGAAATGTTGTTAATGTGCACTGCCAGATGCACTGGCAAACATTTATGGTAAACGAAAATATACTTTTATGGCATTTCTATTGAAACTTGTATGCTGTAGAAATACATATATTTGTAATTATTACACCTTTGTAATGAAGAAGTTGCAATTGCGTGGATTTAAAATATATTAACTTTAAATGTAATATCAAATAACACATAACAATCGAGTGCTTTAAATGTGATTTAGTGGCCTATGTAAGTGGAAACATGAAAACAAGTGTAGTTCTGTAAAGCATGACAAAAGATGATTAAAACATGATTTACAATGTACGCTTTAATATGAAATTATTACAAAGTGCCCCTTTTAAACGTACTTAAGTTATGAAGCAGTCATGAAAGTGTGCTCTTATTAACTACACTTAAGTGGCTTTTATTTCATTAATATTATATTATGTGCAAATACTTTTTTTTTAATGTACTTTTAAGATTTGAAGTACACTACATGTGCACATTCAATACAATTAAGCACACTTCTTTTTTCACAAGGGCAAGAGAAAAGATTCCAGCTTTCCAATATGATCACACAAATTAGCCCATTACTTTCTCAGCCAACTGCTGAATGTCTGTGTCCTGTGAGCTCTCTTCAGTGCGGCCGTGTTTCTTTGTCTATCTGGTTGAGTCCCGGAACGGTTGCGTTCTAAGCGCTTTGTTTTCTTATTAAAAGCACGCAAAAGCTGGACATTTACAGTACATACTGTGACTTCAGGTTCAGCCCAGGTTTCTGTCCAGTGTAGGCAAACATGCCTCTCTGTTTGGGCTTTTTCAGCCTAGCCCTCCCTGGGCAAGACAGCACTCTCTCCATCACGTCTTGCACGAGTCTATCTCTCAGCACTGATCTTGTATCGGAGGATGAAGTAGGCGATGAGACGAAACGACACAAAGAAGATGCCCAGGACGATAAAGTCCAAGTAGAGCTTTGCATCCTCAACATCCAGCTCCTTCAAAATGGCTTCTGACTTCTGGAAGTGGCATGTCTCGTCTTTGTCGCAGTGCAGGTCCTCACGGTCAAGCCCGTATATGGACAGAATGACTCCTTCAAAACCATATCTGAAAGTCAGAGGACAACTGATTTAGAAGAGGAACACTTAAGATATCCAATGTTTTTGGTATACAAATTGGTTTTGTTATACAACTCTATAGAATACTTGTTTCTGATTGGTCAAATGCAGCTTTCTCTTGTCAAATATTTTGTATTTTGACCACTACACTAAGTCTACTACATTGTGCCTATATAGTTGCAAGTCTTTCATATCTCTTTGTACTTTATAATAAAATAATTTAAACTTGAATCGATATATCATGATAATTTATTTACTTATTGCTAATAAGTAGTAATTGTGAATAATCCTCCTAATATACAATCACTATGATAAACATCGTTATGATAAGTGTACTTCATCTTACCTACTGTACTTTTAAACCTACTGTACATGTACAACATGAAATTATATGTGTAGCACATTTAGTATTTGTAATGAGATGCAAAACATAATCTTGAGCATAAAATAATGTTATCATGTACATGATAACATTATTTCATGCTGAAGATTATGTTAAAAAGGAGTTAAACACCCTTGTGAAAAAAGAAGTGTGCTTAATTGTATTGAATGTGCACTTGTAGTGTACTTCAAATCTTAAAAGTCTATTAACAACTATTACTTGTAGATTATATGATATTAAAGAAATAGAATGGACATAATGAAATAAAGTGAGTACACCATCATGACTGTTTCTTAACACACTTTAAGAATTTTACTTTAAAGTAGCCTATACATTTCACACATTATGTTTTAGTAATATTGTGTCATGCTTTAAAGTAGTACACTTATTTTGATATGTTGATTGACATATTAAAGCATATGTAAAGTACTTGATTGTCATTTTAACTAGATAACATTTAACTTATTTGATATTACATTTAAAGTGAATGCATTTATATATAGTAAAAATGCAACTACTATCATTACAAATGTGCAATAACAAACTTGTATGTCATGTTTAAATACATACATTATCATACAAGTTTCAATAGTATATTATGTTTTACTATAAAGGCTTGCCAATACATTCGGCAGTACACTATAACATATTTGAAAATTAATACAACTATGAAATGGCATATAAAGATGTACTTAGGTGGGTCAAAAAGCACTCTTAAGTTCAGTTAATAGCACTTAATATAAAGTCTAGATCTCTTTCACGAGGGCGCATAAAACTCTGTGAAACCGTGATATTGCTGGTTAATCATTTTGTCTTTAGGTATAAATAATTTAAGTAAGAATTTCTGTTCATGTATCTAATTTCAAATAAAGCAGATGAATGATTTGGCACATACAGAATCTATCATATCTTAATATTGAACTAAAAGCTATAATGAGCATTTCCCGAGGTTCGCTTACCTGACATAGGAAATGTATGACATCCATTGGAGGTATTTTGGGATGGTGTCAAAACTCACAAAGAAGCCTGAAAATAGCAGCACAGGGATGGCTGTCACAGGACCAACAAAAGTTGCTACCTGTCAAGGAAACACAACACTGCATCAGACAAAAGTGTACATTTTCTGTGAAAATTTATTGATTGATAATGTGGCAATAAGTATATGACAGAACATTACAGGACAAGGCAAAAGTAGAGGTATTTACTTGTAATGACGTGGATGCTGCTCCTATCAGTAGTCCCAACGACTGTGCAACCAGTGACGTGAGTGTCCCTAAAGCCAGGAAAAGAATGAAACGGACTGCATCTGAAGGTTGAGATGTCATCCAGTACACTATACTGCAGTACGCCACTGGGAACACAACCTGTGAGGCACAAAACAAGTATTTTGAAGTCTATCCTTTCAAAGAGAAATCGAACAATTTGACTTTTTGTTCATAAGTCAATGTTACAAAAAATGACCGTGAAAATATATATAGAGAATATCTCCTCAAGTGACTTTGCTTTGTAACTTTGGAAACCTTTTTCATGCTCAAACAGCAACATTACACCCTTAAGAAAGACAAGAATATGTAAAAAAGCACAATAGGATCCCTATAGGATCCAAATTTTTATTTTTTATTTTTATTGTTTTTTTGTCAGGTTAAGTAAAACATCCCAAATGGTCAAAAAAATTTTTTTCTAACTGAAGATTATTTCACTAGATCATATTTCTGAAGGGGAAAAGCAAAGCCCGCTTATGTAATGTTGCAGCAGGATTTGTCTATATTGTGCAAATAGTGATTTGACCTGAAAAGCAAATCCTCTTGAAGCTCCAATAACATCATGTTTATGCCATAACCATCTTAGTGATTCCCTTTTTGTTCCATTTTTATCCTGTTATGTGTATGTACTCTGAAGAAACCCCAATCTAAACCTTCTCCTTTATCCACTAAGTGAATCATCTCATCAGAGCAAGCTACTTTTCAAGAGAAAACCTCATGTTTTATTTGTTCCACGTTACCTGAAACGGGACGTCCGCCATTGTTTTGGCCAAGTAGTACGCCTTTAGACTGTACCAGTAATTTAGATGTTCTCTCAAAAAGACGCCCATCTCAAGTGGAACTACAATAGCAGTCAGAAAGAACAGATGAGCATCCATAGAATGTAAAAATCAAGAATCACATACAAGAATAGTGTCACAAAGTAAAGTAAATGTGCATCAACGACCTCTTTACACAGATTGTACAGACTCACAGGTGAGAACGGTGGGCATCAAAGCTGCGAACATAAGGAACAACATGGAGAAGAACAGGAAGCCAGAGTTGCTAAGGACTTTCTTGGCCTCGTTGCCGATGCCCAGGTATAACAGACCAATCAGAATTCCAATCCCAAGATGAGATATGATGCGCAAGTGAGTCAACACCTAAACAGAGAAGAATCATTTTCAAATCAAGCTTTTGTTCATTCTGATTGTACATGTACCCACCGTACTGAACTGAGAATGGTTTATGAATTGCAACTACTGAATTGGAAAATAATTTGAATTTAGGGAGCAAACAGGATACATCTAATTTAAGTAGAATTCAAATATAATGAAATTTTGATGAATTTCAGGTTCTTAATGATAACCATTCAATGTGAAATTCCTATGTAATCATGCGGTATTTTCAAAAGAAATTGTGATTTGTGTTCCATTTATACATATTTCATTACATTTTACAAACCCAACCATTGGGTTTGTCCATATTTTACCCAAACATGGGTTGAAACAACCGAGAATTTATTCCGAGAGTGTAATAATAATAATAGAAAACACTTTATTTCCCAGACTGACACAATTTGGACTAATGAAATTCAGCTGACTGTTAAAAATCTTTGAATTGCAATTCAGTATATTCCAGTGAAAAGTAATTGAAATCCCTGACCTTTACTATCATTGAAACGTAATTGAGTTTAAACGTATGTTTTTATTCGCATATATGATAATGATGTTTAAAGCATGTCCTGATTTTGCCGAGTTAGATACAAAATTCCTGTCCAAAAACGTAGTCCTAATAATATCCACTCCCCTAAACCTAACCTTACCCATAACCAGAGGGGAATGATAGGTGAATAACACTGATGTAGAAGCACATCACTCTGGTTGTAAGCCTAAACTTGACATAAACTGTTAATTAACTTGTTCCTCAAATCTGATTGGTCGATTGGAATGTTGTTCCAGGATCAAGAAAGATGTTGATCCAGGAACATGTTGCACTTGGTGAAATCATGTTCTCCATGTTTAAACACCTGATGCTCTTTATATCATATTTGTCTGTGCTGTGTATGTGTCACTAAACGTCCCCACCAGGTGGCGGTGCTGCTTACCGAGTCTCTCAGGATGCTGAGAAAAGTTCTCTTGAAAAGGATGCAAAACTGCGTCAAGCAGCTGGCGGAAAAACTATGGCAACCCTCCGACGACGAAGAGTCCTAAAGAAAACAGCTTCAATTATTACATCTCTTGTGTGCTAAATTATTTGAGCCAAAAAAGCAGAGATGCGCGTAACACCCGCAGCATCATGTTACGTAAAGGCTTCACATGTTTCTATACACACCTCATCAGATGGTCTGTGCCACAGGAAGGGGTTATGGACCCCATTACCATTCATTTCACTTTTGTAGTCTTTCTCACACTTCCATTCCTGAACAGCCTTCACCAGCCGAGCCGTCTGGTCACCGTATTCACCAGAGGCCACCTCCATTACTGGAGAAAAGAAGAAAACACTTTATTTTAGAGTGTCCTTGTTCCATATGTTGGATGTACTTACCATAGTAATAACAGTAAATTATGCATAATTGATTGTAACTAACCCTAACCAAATCCTAATCCTACCCTAACCCTATAGTAAGTACATGTAGTTACTTATTATTACACAGTACTTACATGTATAATTACACTGTAACAATGACACCTTGACCTAAAGGGTTCCACTTTATATTAAGTGGCCCTAATACCTGTGAACTTACATGGTAACTACATGTATTTAACTACAGTGTATGAGTATCTACAGCTGTAATATTTGTGTAACTACACATATGTAACAACCCACGGAATGGTATGTGTAAGTACAAATGTGTAACAGGACATTGGTGACAACACTTGGTTACACTTTATTTTAAGGTGTCCTTGTTACAGTGTAATTATATATTTAAGTACAGAGTAATATTAAGTAACTACATGTACTTACTATAGGAATAGGGTATGATTAGGATTTGGTTGAGGGTTAGTTGCATGTAATTATGCATAATTTACTGTTATTACTACAGTAAGTACATGTAACATATGTAACAAGGACACCGTAAAATAAAGTGTTACCCAACACTTTTTCACTTCAGTAAGTACACATGTGTAACAGGCATTATGTAACTATATTTTGTAACAACAATAGGTATTTACACAAGTTGTTCCACTTCCACACGCAGCCTTAAATACTGCAGTTACCAGTTCGGATATACATGTATTTAATTTCCAACCATGTCAGTATGTTAAAAGCAGATTTAGTTTAGACAGTGGCAGAGTTTTTCTATGTTGTGTACCATCACAGGAACTGTCCACTTAAAAAGTAATTTAAAAATTGCATGGGTGAAATGCCCAAGTATTAAACCTTGATCAGTTCTCAGTAAACAATGTATAAGAGGACTGCAAAAAGAAGAAGAAGAAAAAAAGCAGTAAAGCTAAACAAAGTTTATTAATAGACATTACACTCAACAGTGTAACAGATTATTTAGTAAAACTTCTCTGGGTTAACACTAGAACAGCACAGGGTCCTTTAGGCTGCCTAAAAGAAAAATAGAAAAACTCTGCCACTGTCTAAAATAAATCTGCTTTTAACATACTGACATGGTTGGAAATTAAATACATTTATATCCAAACTGGTAACTGCAGTATTTAAGGCTGCGTGTGGAAGTGGAACAACTTGTGTAAATACATATTGTTGTTACAAATTGTAGTTACATAATTCCTGTTACACATGTGTATTTACTGTAGTGGAAAAAGTGTTGTCACCAATGTCCTGTTACACATTTGTACATACACATACCTTTCCGTGGGTTGTTACATATGTGTAGTTACACAAATATTACAGCTGTAGATACTATGTGCCAATGTGTACTTACACTGTAGTTACATACTAAGTACATATCTAGTAACCATGTAAGTTCACAGGTATTAGGGCCACAATATAAAGTGGGACCTTCTTTCAAATTGTAATAATACTTAACAATATTAGTGTTTTACGGTATTTTTGATTAAATAAATGCAGCCTTGGTAAGCAGAAGACTTCTTCAAAAACATTTAAAAAATCGTACCAACCCCAACATTTTGAATGTCTTTATTACCTAAATAATTCCTTTAAATAGTTTCTGATGGTAACATTTGAAATTAGTAGATGCGCAAGTCACTGAGCTTTTTTATGTGAACTTTTTATATACCAGATTTGATTCACTCGTGTAACTTCTGAAAGCAAGGGTCCAGCAATTCCCGAAAAAAGTTGTGTTATTTATTTATTTGTTTGTCCGTTTGGACCTCTGTATACTGAGAGTGTCCTTTTCTTACCGAAGTCTGCAGGGTTGTGATAGGTGGGACAGTTGAGTCCCAGTTCTCTGAGATGCGGGATTAAGCTTAACACTCTTCCTCGGTAAATGCACTGGCCTTGACTGAGGACGTACAGCTGGAGAAACAAACGCACCAAGAATGAGGTGTGACAGGCGTTTTTTTTGCATAACAGAAATGCATAAAAAACCCCTCAAAAACACAAATCAGAGTATAAAATAGTGATCACCTTATCGAAGAGCTCAAAGACTTTAGCGCTGGGCTGGTGGATTGTGCATATGACTGTCCGCCCGCCCCGAGCGAGGGCCTTCATCAGCGAGACCACCTGGAAGCAGGAGGAGCTGTCCAGTCCACTGAAGAGGGGAAGACAGAGAGAAAAACAACGGTCACAACCTTCTTGTGGATGGAGCCGTGGTGCGGCAGTAGCACGTATTTCCAAGCTGTGGTGCTCCGATGCAGACAAGGCTCAAGTCTGTACCGATTATTATGTACCGATTCCCTTTCCTCCTCTTTCTTCTTCAAAATTCCTGTTAAAATATATATAAAAGTTGTTTTTTAGCGTGCTCATGCATTACAGTTTCTGTTGTATCTATACTGTCTATAACATATTTCCTTTGTGTGTCACTGCCATCAAAATTTGGCTTTTGTCAGGGCAGCATATGCTTTCTCATATCAAAGCCTTATGTCCACTTTAAAAGAATAGTTCACTTAAAAATGAACATTCGGTCATCATTTACATAATTTAAGTTGTATCTTTTTTTTGTGTTCAACAGAAGAAATACATACAGGTTTGAAACAACTTGACGGTGAGTAAATGATGACAGAATTTTCATTTTTAAGTGAAATAGAATACGTCTAATATCTACACTCACCTAAAGGATTATTAGGAACACCATACTAATACTGTGTTTGACCCCCTTTCGCCTCAGGTAGGCCGTGGCATTTAAACGATGCCCAAATGGCACTAAGGGGCCTAAAGTGAGCCAAGAAAACATCCCCCACACCATTACACCACCACCACCAGCCTGCACAGTGCTAACAAGGCATGATGGATCCATGTTCTCATTCTGTTTACGCCAAATTCTGACTCTACCATCTGAATGTCTCAACAGAAATCGAGACTCATCAGACCAGGCAACATTTTTCCAGTCTTCAACTGTCCAATTTTGGTGAGCTCTTGCAAATTGTAGCCTCTTTTTCCTATTTGTAGTGGAGATGAGTGGTACCCGGTGGGGTCTTCTGCTGTTGCAGCCCATCCGCCTCAAGGTTGTGCGTGTTGTGGCTTCACAAATGCTTTGCTGCATACCTCGGATGTAACGAGTGGTTATTTCAGTCAAAGTTGCTCTTCTATCAGCTTGAATCAGTCGGCCCATTCTCCTCTGACCTCTAGCATCAACAAGGCATTTTCGCCCACAGGACTGCCGCATACTGGATGTTTTTCCCTTTTCACACCATTCTTTGTAAACTCTAGAAATGGTTGTGCATGAAAATCCCAGTAACTGAGCAGATTGTGAAATACTCAGACCGGCCCGTCTGGCACCAACAACCATGCCACGCTCAAAATTGCTTAAATCACCTTTCTTTCCCATTCTGACATTTAGTTTGGAGTTCAGGAGATTGTCTTGACCAGGACCACACCCCTAAATGCATTGAAGCAACTGCCATGTGATTGGTTGATTAGATAATTGCATTAATGAGAAATTGAACAGGTGTTCCTAATAATCCTTTAGGTGAGTGTAATGTATACTATATTATAATTTAGCAATACTTCTGCAATATATAACAATACATCCTTGCGATATCACTTAAGTGCTCACGTCAGTGGGCTAGACAAGGTTAACGATTAAATCATAATCTTGATCTCGCTCTGTCAAAGCCATATTAGACGCTGGATAAAGTGGAAGATTAAGTGTCCATTTTAAAGGACAGGATAATACTTTAGTAGCTGTCAATATAGCAGTGCTTTCAAATGATATCATAGCACATGCTACACACAATTTGCTGATTGGATATTTATCTAATGCACAGGGAAATATTATTCCTTTGAGCCATTAAAGTGTCCACTTAACCAAAACACAACTCCGTGACATCATATTAATGATAATGGTCCTGCTCTTATGCAACCTATAGAAGCTGATGCCACGTGGTTTTGATTTCCATGAAGGAGAAGCTGTTTGTCCTTGGATATTCATGGCAATCGTATAAATGCGATTTACTAAGTATTGTTTTAAGCCGAATTGACTTTAGTTTGCGCTCTCCAGAGAATCAGAGTCGTTCTTGTTCTTAGAGGGTAAAACCCCGAGAGAGGAATGAAAGCTTAATAGAGTCCGTAGAGACCGGGTCTCAACTGTCCAAAAATATCCCATCTGGGCAAAGCCTGCGAGTGAATATGGAAATGGACACATTACAAGGACATAACAGAGAAACCTCATGGGTAACAGCTTTTCAACAAGAGATATATTTGGCTCAGGAACGTCACTTAGAGGAGTCGATTTGATGGTTCGCTTCATGGCCATGCATTATATATCACTGGAAATTTTTATTTTTCATTTTAGTGGTTAAAAAAAAAGAAAGAGAGATGGCTGAGAGACATTACAAAAGAGGAAAAGGTCAGAGGAATATCACTGGAAAAAAAGGGGTTAAGATCAGGCAAAGAGCTTTAGGACCCGTGTTAATATTAGAAAAGCTTTCCAGCGCTGGAGAGACCTAAACGGGAAGGCCTTAAAAAATGCAGAGGTTGTGTTGTTTCTGCTCCAGACGTGAGTAACATTGGTTTTGCCGTTTCACAGAACTAAGTTATGCTGTTGTTGTAATGTTAGCTAGAGTAACAGGACAGTTTGGAGTGTCATTGCATTATTTTGAAGCATTATTTTGCTTCACTTCAGCTATGAATCAGAATCATTGCGTGTGCATGCATTTTAGGGGCGGAGCAACGAAGGAAGGGGTGTGTTGGTTTCAGTTGGTTTCAAGTATCAACGGTGTTTCTAAGAAATCGCCTACTGCACCTTTAATGAAATTTAAGTTAAAGGCACTAAATGTAACTTTTCTTCTAAAATGAATCCTTTTTTTATTGCCTGTGTGTGAAGGGGTTGTAATCACACATTACAATGATCCACTTGTCGGGGTTTGCTGTCCTCTGAAGGCCAGTATTCCTATTTCTATGTGAAGTCTCCGGGTCGGATTTTCTGCGAAATCCATCGGATGTGACGTGCAAGCGCGCTCCCGAGCCTCTCTCCTTTTTATATACAGTCTATGCGACGGCATTGCAGCTGACGACATGGAGTCTGATAACACTAAACATGACCTGCCTCCAGCACAACACACACTCCAACACAAACTCCACATAAATATAAAAAACAAAACAAAAAATATATCTGCTGAAGCTCGTCAGGCCAAACGTGAATCGGATCGACTTAGGACGAAAACACGGATCAACATCGGCAGAGCGTTTGAATTATGGAGAGACCTCGGCTATTTCTATTGTGATAAATTACAAGTTTTCAGATATGCTGAAATAAATAATGGTAAACTGTAATGAAATGGCAAGGTAAACTACAACATACATGAGACATGAAATGAATACAAAAGACAGTTCCAGGATAACAAAAAGTAGGTGCTTTAGGATGTAACTTTTATTTTATGTAAGCTAGATCTACTGTCTAACGTCACTCATGAAACTACTATCATATTGTTTATAATTAGGGTTGGGTACCGAAACTCGGTGCCAATAGGGAACCGGTTCCGACGTAAACGGTAGTAACCAGACCGAATAAGAACGAAAATTTCGGTGCCTGATTTCGGTGCCTAACTTCATTAGGCACACACGCGCGCACACACACACACACACACACACACACGGTCTCTCGCTCGCTCTCTCTCCGCCGTGCGTGTGCTACACAGTTTGGAGCACAGTTTCTTCTGTCTCGCATGCGCGCTCTTTCTCACAAGGTTTGGCTGCATTTCACGTGTAAAATTACGTGTCAGAACGCCCTCTGGGTGTGCCGATAGTCTGAATCCCATATAGAATCAAGCCAATTCATTGGCTGATGGCGCGGGCGCCGCATCGACGCACTTACGTCGTCATACTATGTTGGCGCGCGCGCGCCATCTGCTCCTCAGATTTCTCTGCCGAAAAAGGAAGCTGGTCGGCAGCGCGAGGAGCTTGGCAGCGTCCCGTTCCCTATTGAGAGATATGTTACACCAGTAACCAGAGATGTTCTCTTTCATAGGTTCACTCAACGCTGCGTAGCTAAGAAGCAGTGGATTTGTAGGCTGCTGTATCACGTGCCGTTTGAACTGACGCGCTACAGCGATCTGTCACATTTCAAAGAGCCAAAACGTTATTTATTGTGTGAATCTCGTAAAAATATTGACAGAATCTGACAGCTGTGGATTTGTTCCATATCAAAAGTAACCTTCTCTGTCTTGTCTGTCAGTGTCCTCTTTGTCCGCGATTTTTCTGTGTGAAAAGGGTCATTTGCGTGAGTCTCACGGTCAATGCGTGAGAGTTGGCAGCTCTGCCTGCTAGTAATCTCTATTAATCTCCAGTATTATTACATTGTTTGATACAATATTGTTTCATTTGATATTACGTAAATATGAATTTTTATTTTATATTGGTTTTATTATTACCATATGTTACTTGTATTTATATTGTTTAAAGATTTAAGTTAATATTGTGTCCAGTTTGGCCCTGTAAATTAAAGGGTATTGTTTTTTGATAAAGTGTGTGCAGTTTCATTTTCTTAAGTACCGATTTAAGAACCGTTTAAGCACCGGAACCGTTTAAAAAATACCGAGTAGGTACTGGAATCGGATAAAACCCAAACGATACCCAACCCTATTTATAATACACATTTCCAGACATGTTCAGTACAGTAATGTTACTTCCTACGATCTTACTGTTACACTGAAATTGTTCAGTCTAGTTCACTAACCGTTTTCGTTATCATATTATACATTCATCTATGTTGACATTGCTGATTGTGAAAGATACACGAATAGTTAGTGAAATGCCTTATGCTAGATAACACCACATGTCGGCTAAATGCAGTCAATGTAACGTTATCATGGTACGAGCATGGAGCATTAGTTCAACGTCAAGCTGATAAAAGTAGCCTATTATTGTAACGTTGCAGTGGGAGTTTACATGAGTTTCCAGCATGTTGTGTGATGCTTTCTCCGGTGTGTTGAAAGTCTCAGTGTGGCCGGTACCATGAGTGCTCGCTCTTGTGTTCGAGCACGCGCAAGAGCACGAGCGCTCTTGAAAAAATTGGTTGCAATCTGAAACATCACCGATAGAGGCTGCTAAAAAATACATATAGCACCTTTAAGTTGCATAAAACCTAAAATGTTCGTGCTGTTCTTTTTACGGCAACCACAGCTTTTTTTATCATGTATTTATTTTACAGTTTAATGTGTTTAATGTGCTCACCTGGTGGGCTCATCAAAAAACATGACGGGCGGGTTGTTGACGAGCTCCAGGGCGATGGCCAAGCGCTTCCTCTGGCCTCCGGACAGGTTGGATGTGCGCGTCTTGGCACATTCTAACAAGCCGAGTGCAGTCAGGATTTCCCGTACCTAGAACAACAGCATGTCATGTGGAATAAGGACAACGCATGCACATACTGTACATATCTACACTACCGGTCAAAAGTTTGTGGTCAGTAAGAATTTTAAATGTTTGCATTTATTTGATCAAAGTACAGTAAAACAGTTATACTGTGAATTGTTATTATTTAAAATAGCTTTTTTTGTGTGTATTTTAAGTATAATTTATTCCTGTGATGTAAAGCTGATTTTTTCAGCATCATTTCTCCAGTCTTCAGTGTCACGTGATCCTTCAGAAATCATTATAATATGCTGATTTGTTGCTCAAGAAACATTTCTTATTATCAAAGTTGAATGTTAAACAATTGTGCTGCTTATTATTTGTGTGCAAACTGTGATACATTTTTTTTATGATACTTTGATGATTATTATGATAAATACCATTTATTTGAAACAGAATTCTAGTGTGACAATGCACAAGTCTTTACTGTCACTTTTGCTCAATTGAATGCACCCTTGCTGAATAAAAGTGTACAGTAGTGTACATGTTAACTGTGAGTTCACCAATCAGGACATATTCCTGCAACAGCATCCGTGTCGGTCATGCAACAACATTATTATACGCCGATCAAGTCATGTTTAAGGCACCCATGGCTGACCTTTAGCATAAAGATTCGTCCGTACGTACATAACCGGGTGAGAAACTTCACACGCCTCTCGCTTACCATTTCACGCCTGCCTTCATCCTTTTCCTGGAGTTTGAGATTAGCTGATACCTGAGCAGGGAGAGTGAGTGATTTAGATCATGATGAGCATTAGCCGATACAACTACAGCTAACAGAGGGATTTGCATCAACTCAACAACACAACAACTGCAGTTACATGAGACATATTCCTGCGAAACTAGCTGTGACAGCTGATCACATGTTTGTTTGTACGTTATATTTACCATGAGGTAATGTGCTTGCTATTAAAAATTTTATTTTCTTAACTAAATATTAACAAATACGTTACATTCAAACAACAAAGGTTACATTCAAACCATGGTGTATAACTAATTTTATGTATTCAAAGAAAACCGGAGGGGTAGAGGAGCGCTTCCTGGACTCCAAAGTTTGATTAAGATAGAGGTGCTCTTTGGATGGGAACCTAAATACCAAAAATAAAAAAAGGGGAACTCCAAGGCACTCTCAATTGAAAAAGTTAAAAGTTAAAAAGCCTTTATTATAAAGGCTTTTTAACTTTTTCAATTGAGAGTGCCTTGGAGTTCCCCTTTTTTGATTTTTAATTTTATGTTTTATTTGGAGTAATTTGGGTTACACTTTATTTTAAGGTGTCATGTAATTATACATGTAAGTACTGAGTAATAATAAGTAACTACATGTACTAACTATAGGGTTAGGGTAGGATTAGGATTTGGTTGAGGGTTAGTTGGATGTGATTATGCATAATTTACTGTTATTACTATGGTAAGTACATGTAACATATGGAACAAGGACACTGTAAAATAAAGTGTTACCGTAATTTGTACTTTACTTGAGTAAATACTAATAAATTTACTCTTCACAATTTAATCTACCCTGGTGAAAAAGAAGTGTGCTGTACTAAGTGTGCACTTATAGTGTACTTCAAATCATATATTCTAAACTGTACACAAATACCAATGAAATAAAATGTATGTTAAAGTGTACTTCTTTTTCACAAGGGCAGACCTTCAGAACAGCCATTAGTTTACTTGTCATCATGTCTGACAATGAATGTAAATTTTACATAAAAGATGTTAGGACATTCAGTGAAACATCCGGTGTCAGAGCCACAGACAGTCATGACAAATTGCATTGTTTTATTAATTCATTTTCCTGAATAATTTTGAAAATGCCTATAGGTAGAAGCATTTTGTTGGTACTTTTTTAATTTGATATGTATAAATAAATGTGGAAACTTCCTCTGTATCTTTGCTCAAGTACTTTTAGCTCCAGATACTTGAGACTTTTAATTGAACTTTTAGCTCAATGAGATGATCTCAGCAGACACGTACCATCATGGCTTCCTGCACGGTGAGGTGTGGCAGTAACATGTCGTCCTGCATGATGTAGCAGGACACTTTCCTGAAAGATCGCAGATCTCTGGGCTGCCCGTTTATCAAGACCGCCCCCTTCATGCCTGTTTCCCTGTGTGATAAAGCACATCTTCACATATACTGTCTTTTGTAACATCATCACATTTATAACCACCATTTCCTGATAAATGATCATGGTCTCCCCCACATGTCAAGTAATTGCTGTATTCATTCGGCATCAACAACACTGAGACATATTGCTTCAGGCATTCTTCATTTGTAAATCGCTTTGCATAAAAGTATCCGCAAAAAGAATACATTTAAATAAATAATGAACAGCTTCCAGTGGAAGATACAAAAAAGCATTTTCATGGCAATTCGTAACGATTTTAGGTTTCGGCGAATTGGTGGCGAAATCGTATAAATACGTGTTTGTACAATCTGCTTATGCCCCACTAAGGGTTGGGTTTTGCACTCTTATGCTACGTTCACACCGGACGCGAATAGCGCGTCAAATTCGCGTCTACCGCGTCTAGTTTGACACTTGACCACTTTGTGTTAATTCACGTGTCAATGGCGAAATTGACGCGTGTAAAAACAAAAGTTTGAAGCGAAATTGACGCGCGTCAGAGGCGAAATCCAGCGGCGAAAGTTTCGAAACCCTTTGGCGGCCATCTTTTTAGATGTTTATTGAGCATTAGCATTATTGGAGAGAGTCACCGCTGGTATATGCTCTGGAGAGCAGAAACAGCTGCGTAGGGGACATCGTCGCTGTACTCGGGTCCACCAGACCCTCCGGAGGGTTTCAGGAGTTTCACAATTTGCCAGGAGCTAGGTTTGGTGGACCTAATGGTGAGGATGCTGACGAGGACAGCGTAGGCCGTATAAGGCCTCGGCCTCGAGTGGTCTATGCCTGTCGAGCCCGCGCTCTACAGCCGGGCGCGAGGTTCACCCTCGCCCGCATCCACTTAATCTGTCATTTATTTTTGTTTTGATAATAAATGGAGCCTCCAAAAGTGAAACCTGTCCTGTGATTTTTTTTAAAGTTTTTATACACTAAATTGTGTTTGTTGTCTTTACATTAGAATAATAATGTTTCATAGAATAGATATGGAATAAATAGCATTCAATACAAAATGAGTATCTCTCATATATTGAAATCGAGTTTTTATGTGAAAGATTTGCTTTGCACACCAAGTATGTTTGTCATATTACAAAATAATTTATTGAGGCCAAACATAAAATAACATTATAAACTGTCACTTCACCACGTGACAGCATCAAGCAGGCTCCTGATTGGTTAACGCGGCGCGAATTGACGCAGAAGTTCAGATTTTTCAACTCGGGCGGCAGACGCGAATTCGCGTCAAACGCGTGAATGCACAAATAGCACTAACTAAATCATTCGCGCGTAACGCGCCAGACGCTTAATTCGCGCCATTCGCGTCTACCGCGCCGCGCTCTACGCCTTATTCGCGCCGCAGGAATTTTTACGCGCGTAACGCGTCTTTGCATTGACTTAACATTGAAATCACTCGCGCCTGACGCGCTATTCGCGTCCGGTGTAAACATGGCATTAGAAAAAAGACTCAATTTTAAAGGCCCCCTGAAATCAAAATGCACATTTTTTTAGCTTTCAGTATGAATATGTTAGCCTTAAGGTTATGAATAAGCTGGCGTGTTCCAAAACAATGACAAAATTCACATTTAGGAGATACAAGCATTCAAAACTTACAGTCTCTCACTTCCGCTAAAATGAATCACGATCACATCTTCTGTCCAATCAAATGCTCTCTAGAATCTATGCTATTCCCTATGCTATAAACACCACCTGGCCGAAGCGACCGTTGACACGTCACGGAGCCATGTGGGTTGGAGATGTGTGTTCGGTTGCTCAAACGCTCGAGTTTTATTCCGTTTTCCAACTGTACGCTGGTTAAGAATGAAATGGCTAGAATTTATTCACAGCTTTACTATTGAATCCAGCGTAACATCAGCGCTCGGATTCGCTTCCATGGGGCCGTCAAGTCCGACTTGCAGTCTGTGAGGTAAACTAAACGCTATTGGCTATTTGAAAAGGGGGAGGAGCCATTCAATATGTTCCGCCTTAGCTTCCTGTTTCAGTGGAAATTGCGTCAACGCATCAAACGAAGCTGCGCGATCCAAGGGCCTTTAAAGAACCCTATATGCCAAAAAGGTTCTAAATGAGAAGAAATGTCTTAAATTATTGACAATACTATCATGTTTAACGGGTTACCAATTTGCCTAAATGTAAAATAGTTAGTGCTGGATGCTTCACGTGGTCATACTAACCTATAACCCGCTAGAATGTTCATTAACGTAGACTTCCCAGCTCCCGAGGGTCCCATGATGGCCACCAAAGCTCCGCTGGAGAAGTTCCCAGAGATCCCTTTCAGAAGAGTCTTGTAACCTGAAACAGGGTGGAAACAGAGAAAGAGCCGTGTGAGAAACCTTCCACAGTCCGGACAATAAGCACAATGAACAACCTGAGCTGTTCCTCCCAATCATGTAATGAACCTGCCAAAATCCCATTCAAATGCTCCTGCTTACATAATGGCCAGTTTGTGATTGCAGGTGAAAAGGGTTATTTGTTTGTTCAATGTCGGGTTTCTGAAAATTTCCAGGTGAATGAACATGTTTGCTGGTGTGAGTATCTATGGATAAACCCTGTTCTTACCTCTACCTGACCTGTTCCTCTCAGTGTACCTTTTCGTCTATAACTTTAAAAGAATAATGGACTGATGCTATGACGTTTCTACAATACCTATTGATTTTCTTTTGTCAAGGTATATAATGCATTCTTCACCATATTACGCTAGCTTTGTGTGCAGATTTGTAAGCTCTGTAGGTTCTTGACTAATATACACTAGCCTCAAAGAGCGTTTGAACGTTTACTTACTTAAAATGTATGGATTGTATTAGTTCATTACAATTTTTGGTTGCATTAGACTACAAGATCGACATGTCCAATTAAGTTCATAAAGTGTCCAAATGTGTTTTGAAACAAGCATGCAAAATTACTAGAAAACAAGCATTTGTTTAACTGCGTTTTTTATTCGAAATCTTAGTTACTGAGATAAAGCAAAGTCCCCTTTCAGGCACGTCAGTTCACTCGCCAGCCATCTTGAAAACGCTCTCGGCAGCTACTTTCATTCATGCAAGAATAGAAATGAAAGATGCCGAAATATACTACTTAAAAAAAAATACTAAACTACATTTTAAATCAGTAATACAATCTGAATTGTATAGCATTGTTTGTATATTTTTTTCCATCCGACTCATATGCAGACTGTAGAGCAAATACTGAGTGCAATTTATGTTTTATAATCCGAAAAATCTCTATTCATGAAATGTTTGAGTTTGAAATGATTATCCCTAGAAAAAAAAACGGGTCTGTCTATGGTCGCTCTGCTTTTAGTTCCACTGCTCCAAATGATTGAAATGTGCTACAAAAGTCATTGAAATTGGAGTCATTTATTTCAATCTCTGCACTTAAAAAACTATTAGGGAGTGTTTTTATCACAGCTTGTGAATGTTTTAAATGAATGTACACTCACCGGCCACTTTATTAGGTACACCTGTCCAACTGCTCGTTAACACTTAATTTCTAAGCAGCCAATCACATGGCGGCAACTACGTGCATTTAGGCATGTAGACATGGTCAAGACAATCTCCTGCAGTTCAAACCGAGCATCAGTATGGGGAAGAAAGGTGATTTGAGTGACTTTGAACGTGGCATGATTGTTGGTGCCAGAAGGGCTGGTCTGAGTATTTCAGAAACTGCTAATCTACTGGGATTTTCACGCACAACCATCTCTAGGGTTTACAGAGAATGGTCCGAAAAAGAAAAAACATCCAGTGAGCGGCAGTTCTGTGGGCGGAAATGCCTTGTTGATGCCAGAGGTCAGAGGAGAATGGCCAGACTGGTTCGAGCTGATAGAAGGGCAACAGTGACTGAAATAACCACTCGTTACAACCGAGGTATGCAGCAAAGCATTTGTGAAGCCACAACACGCACAACCTTGAGGCGGATGGGCTACAACAGCAGAAGACTCCACCGGGTACCACTCATCTCCACTACAAATAGGAAAAAGAGGCTACAATTTGCAAGAGCTCACCAAAATTGAACAGTTGAAGACTGGAAAAATGTTGCCTGGTCTGATGAGTCTCGATTTCTGTTGAGACATTCAGATGTTAGAGTCAGAATTTGGCGTAAACAGAATGAGAACATGGAACCATCATGCCTTGTTACCACTGTGCAGGCTGGTGGTGGTGGTGTAATGGTGTGGGGGATGTTTTCCTGGCACACTTTAGGCCCCTTAGTGCCAATTGGGCATCGTTTAAATGCCACGGCCTACCTGAGCATTGTTTCTGACCATGTCCATCCCTTTATGGCCACCATGTACCCATCCTCTGATGGCTACTTCCACCATGTCACAAAGCTCTAATCATTTCAAATTGGTTTCTTGAACATGACAATGAGTTCACTGTACTAAAATGGCCTCCACAGTCACCAGATCTCAACCCAATAGAGCATCTTTGGGATGTGGTGGAACGGGAGACTCGCATCATGGATGTGCAGCCGACAAATCTGCGGCAACTGTGTGATGCCATCATGTCAATATGGACCAAACTCCCTGAGGAATGCTTCCAGCACCTTGTTGAATCTATGCCACGAAGAATTGAGGCAGTTCTGAAGGCAAAAGGGGGTCCAACCCGTTACTAGCATGGGGTACCTAATAAAGTGGCCGGTGAGTGTATATGTGTGTGTTGTAATATGTTAGTATGTCCTTTAGGAGATCTTGATTCTCCTGCCAGGCTGTCTTTGAAAATAAGAACTTGTTCTTAACTGACTTGTCTGGTTAAATAAAGGTTAAATTAAAAAAAATTAAAAAACCTTTGTAGGTTTGTGCTATCTTTCATAGCATTTTGTTATCTAATGCATTGACATCTGCACATTTTAAGTAAATATTTTTTGGGACGATTATAAACCCTTGTGAAAAAGAAGTGCACTAGTAGTACTTTAAATTATGAAAATATATACTTTTTTAAAACAACAGTAACTACCGTTTCGTGATAATGAAATAAAATGTTACTTAAGTGTACTTAAGAGTACAATTTCATGACTATGTTTTTTTAACGCACTTAAGTTTAAAAAGTGCACTTTGTAATATTATCGAATTTTACTTTAAAGACGTAGTCAATAATTGTATCCCTTAAAACTCCTATTTGATCACAAAATGTCACAATTAAACTTGTGAACTTTTTTTTCATGCCTTAAAAACAGCTCGCATGTCTTTGGTTCACCACAGTTTTAAAGAGAAAATTCTCAGGAATGGTGTCGACTTATGAATTTGCACATGGTTTGTCTTAAAGCATATTACAGTTTTTCTCGATTGCTTAAACACTATAACCAGGCTTTTGAACAAAAATTTCAAAACCATAATGCCATTTATCAAAAAGTACACCCATTTCACTGAACTATGAACACTATTCCCCTGTTTTGACACATTAGTCAGATTTGTTGAACGGTCACAGCAAACCTCTACACACAAATCCCTTCATTTCTCATTGCCTACACCACGTGGTCATTTAGAAAGCACTAGCATTCAAAATTATTCACTCAGGTCAGCACAGCTTCAGCTCAGTTAGCACACAATTACCCAGGTGAAAACACTAAGAGTCAAAATTGAACACACATCAGTCAGATCCTTCAATAGATAGATAAAAGCTTATACAATCTTTTATAAAAGATAAAAATCAGTTTACTGAGTTTTGGAACAATGGATCCACAGAGAAATTAAGCAATATGTCGAGGAGGGAGAGGAAGAGGAGGAGGAGGAGGAGGAGGAGGAAAAGGAGGAGGAGGAAAAGGAGGATGAGGAGGAACAGGAGGAGGCAGAAGAACAGGAGGAGGAACAGGAGGAGGAAGAGGAATAGGAGGAGGAACAGGAGGAGGAGGAGAAGGAGGAGGAAGGGCAAAGGCAAGAAGACAAGCAGTCTCGGATGAAATTCAAGCCACTTTAGTTGGCCATGTCCTTGTCCATGGTAAGACTATGAGGGAGGCTGGGCAATGAGTACAGCCAAATTTCGCCTCCATCATCAGAACCTTCAGGGAGGTGTGGTGGCAAACAGATTTCTATTACTGAATAAGAGACAAACATTTCCAATTGTCTTTGATGAGGTTTATGTTCTTGCAAGAAAAGGCCAGCATTCGTACAGTCACACAGAGTGGCTGCAGAGTGTGACAGTGAGGGGAGGGCATCCTTTCTCTTTTATAGTCTTTATTACCAGAATGTTATCTTTCTAGGCCAATGATGGTATTTCAACCATATGTGGAACATTCTTAGACGTGTTCATCATATTGTATCCTTGAGTGGAGGCATGTACCAAAACTCTTTACCATTCCAATACAATTCCATATTTGAATAAGGTTTGTGTGTGCTCTTTTACCGTCATATGATGCTCACACACATCTTATGTAAGAGTAGGAGAGAGGAAAAAAAAAAAAGATGGGGGGGAGGGAGGGCGGAGGACCACAAGCAACATGAATTACCAGTTTTGGAAATGTTGTTTTGAATTTATAGCACCAGTGTGTAAGACTGTGTTGTAGTGTGTGTATTTTTGAGGGCTTGTGTGTCCTGTCTGAGGGCAAAGTTTGGTTTTTCAGCAAGAGTGAATGGTTTTGAGTGTAGAGCTTCATTTTGACCTGAAAATAGGATGTTTGGGGAATTGGGTGAGACGTTATGGATTTGTGTTTACTGTTTTGACAATACAAGGCATAGTTTCAAGAAATGTGTTTAAGCAATCGAGAAAAACTGTAAACACAGGCATAAAAACAACATTAAAGTACATTTTAAATGTTTTACTAATCTTGTATCATGATTAAAAGACGTCCACTTATTTTGATGTGTTGGCTAACACACTAAAGCACATGCAAAGTACTTGATTATAATTTTAACTGTAGTGTTATTCAATGTTACATTTTAATGTAATATATTGTAAACATACTGAATTGCAGCTTTATCACAAATGTGTAATATTTGCATATGACATACAAGTTTCAATAGAAATGACATTAAAATATATTTCAGTTTACCATAAATACTTGTCAGTATGACGTAGAGCACTTTACTCATATTTCAAATACAATAGAGGTTTATTAACAATAGCAGTTTAGGTAACACTTTATTTTAGAGTGTCCTTGTTCCATATGTTACATGTACTTATCATAGTAATAACAGTAAATTATGGATAATTGCATGTAACTAACCCTCAACCAAATCATAATCCTACCCCTTACCCTATAGTAAGTACATGTAGTTGCTTAATATTACTCAGTACTTACATGTATAATTACACTGTAACAATGACATCTTAAAATAAAGCGTTTATTAAATTACACATAAA